ACCTCGCACCTGCAAGTCGATTCTGTGTGAGTGTCCGCACCCACTGTGTGGCGCGGAGATTATCCTGAGCATGACCACCATAAATTCTAAAGCCCCAAATTCACATCCATTTGCATTCCAATCCATTGACCACGGCTGCGTTGAAACGGACCTCCGATGCACGAAGCGTAAATGAGCTGAAGGTGAAGGCTATCGGCTTGTCTGAAGCAGGCAGCGTACGGACGTTCAACTTGCAGCGTTGCCCGCTGTCGCCGTAGCGCAGGACGGGCGCATGGTGTGGGATGGCGGAGTCGGGCGGCCTTTGCGCGGGGGCGGCGAGGGTGACCCGTGGCTGGGGCGAATCTAGCGACGGGTCCCCTTCCAGAGGAACGAGCGCTTGCAGAGGTTGACGTCCTTACAGGCGCCAGAGCTTTAAGATCGGGCGGTTGGTGACGAATTTGTGCGCGTGGGGCTGCCCAATCATCAGTCCGTGTGAGCACTCGCGAGCTCGTGTATGTTCATGTGGTGCTTCTGGTCAAGTTCTAGTGAATCGTGCCAAGACAGGGTTCAACAATTGGTTGTCGCGCTGGTGCGGACTTGTGCCCCATCGCCGTGATCCGCATCCATTCAAGCATTTGGCCCCCTGCGCGTCACTGCTCTGCATATGCGTCGCGTCTGTATGTGGCCTGCGTGCACCATGTGTCGTACATCATTGTGCATCCTCACGCACCATGTTTGAGTGATTTCTGCTGCAGCGCTGAGCGGGCGGCGTGTGTGCATTTCTGGAGGGCGGCGGTCATGAAGGGCTGCGCACTGGCCATGGGAGGATGCGCATACCTCCTTTACAAGAATGGTACGGCACCTTGTTTTAATTTGAACATTATTGTGCATTTTCATTGTTCGTTGTTTGCAACACAAACAAGGTTTGTTTTCGTTGGTTCCTGTGGTGGCGCGTTCAGGTCCCAGAGTCAGGGCATCCGATCCGGCTGATCAGCCCGGCAGCTCGAATTATATTCACAACTTGCTTCAGCCTACAAAGCCGGTTCTACAGCGCACGGCAGATGTTTCGCTCATTATCCACGGTGCTTGGGCTGCAAGCCTCGGTGGTGCCAGGCCTGGCACCTTCCTAGGAAGGCGCACTTCTGTCGGCACCATGATGCGCCAGTATTGCAGCGAAAGCAGTGCCAGAAGGAAGCGATGCGAACGAGCGCGAAGGCGAGCCGAAGCAAGAATGAAGCCGGCTCCATGGCAGCCATCATCTCTCGATGAAGAATCGAGCACCTACCTAACTCTGAAATGTACCGTGCCAGCGTGGAAGAGCTGCCATGCTTCCCCCACGGATGGAGCGTGCTTCCGTGCCTGGCAGTTTGGGATTGTGCTTTGGACGTTGGGGGAAAGAGTGGCTCTGGCATACCAGAGCACTGCCACCAGCGGCTGCAAAGATGCCGGCATGCATGGCCTCCATGGCGCGGTGTTGGACGGGAAACTATCGCCGTTTTACGGAGTTGCGATGTATTGCATTAAACGTTCCGCCCTAGCTTTAACGCCTGTGGGAGGCTGTACTGTTTTAGGGAAGGCGCTATGTCGATTTTGTTACGCTTAGCGACAATTTGACGTTAAGCTCAGACCCCACCCCCACCCCTCCCACCCCCCTTTGCGTCAATCCTTATATCGAAGCGCGGATGACTCAGCAACATTACCTAATAGTGGAATGCAATTTCTAACTGGCTTTGAGAAGGAAAAAAGCTCAGAGTCGTAAAAATTTTGGTGGGCGGAAAAATGGGATTATGAATGTCATTATAGGCAAGGCGGGCAGCCTCAATGGCTGTAAATTGACACATTCTAAGGGCTCCTTGAAGACTAAACATTTCAGGGAGGCTTAAGAACAAGGCACGAGTGTTTTGCTGCTGATCAGCGGCGCTTTCAGTCACCTTTCGGCCTTATGTCGATTGTGTTGCACTTACACAATCTCTTAGCATCACAGGTCTGGAACGCCCCCCACCCCTTGGTGTCAAATTGACGCTTAGCGTGACAAATCACCATAGAGTCTTCCATTAGTGTGATTTGTTAGGGGCTGTGACTTCTTGTGAGCGGTAGCATTGTCAGATGCTTGGCAGGCACCGGAACAATCTGCGGGTGCGGTTGAGGCAGGCAGCGCAGTGAGGCCTGCCATTCCAGCAAGCGCACCTGTTGCAGGGACGGTGGGGCTTGCCACTACGTTTCCTGGCTAGATTCACTGAGGCTGGCTCTCGGAGTTTGTGGACGCCAGCTGCTTGCATTCCCTTTAAAACAATGGTTTCTGGATCTTCTTGAAGATTTCGTGTCAGATGGGCCATATTTCACGCCACTAGCTTGAACATTCGGAAAGAGCTGTGCATGCTGCTTGGCTGAATTGCATCCAGTGCGTTGTCAATCCACTGACCAACCATCCACAAGGGTGGCGCCTTCACATTGCTTTTGTCTATGCATGAAAGGTTCGGTCGGGCCCCCAGCCACCCATTCCAGAATCTCCGCAGATGGCCCCAGGTCACTCCCCTCTCCAGGGCCCAACAGTTAGCCAATCGGTCCAACACAGGGTACAAAGTTGTACCGTAGATGTACAATCACCAACTGCATCATCATCATCGAAATCCGTGGTCGACATTTGTCACAAAATGACAAAACACAGCCTGTGCACCTGGTAGGCGATGATGGGCGTGAAAACCAAGCAGATAGTGTGTTCGGAATCGATTACTCATGGTCCCATGCCGCCACTCCCTATTGTCCCATGAAATGCAGTTCCAATTAGGAGCTGGCGATCAGCGGTGGAGGCTCGCTTTGTCACGGACTCACAAGCAGCCATTTTGGCGTTGGTTGGTGGGAGGAACTGCAAATTAACGGTGGTGGAGGTACGGCGCCTCCCCCTGAAGATTATCGCGGCTGGATGCCGTGTCCCTTTACAATGGGTGCCCGGCCATGCCGATGTGGTTGAAAACGAAGCAGCGGATGGCCCGGCGACTGGAGCCAGTGGTGGGGTGGGAGCTTCTGTCGCTCAAACTCCGAGGTGAACCCATTGTGCCCAGGCTATCAAGTGGCGCATGACCAAGTACTACAATGCACGGGCCAATCCTGATTGGCAACGGACGACAACCAACTGCATGATAACCCAGTGGGCTTGCTCGTTCCCCATCGATCAGAGTGGGCGAACCTGAGAGGGCAAAGCTATCAAGCATGCGCCGTGCTGGCGCCACAAGCTCTGTGCAGCATTTACCACATTTTAAAGGGCCACCAGTGCGTGCAAGATTGTGGGCTCCTTGATCAGACTGGCCTAACTGATTTCTTCTCGTCAAGGCGAGTTCAACGTGCCGCAGAGTGTTTGGGGGTGCTAACGCTGGGTCATGGATACCAATGTGGGTGTATGCCCGCAGAGAGGTAGGTGAGTACAAATACCGGGTAGCTGCTTTGGTAGTGCCAACGCTGCGCTTATGCTGCTCCGTTTCGCCTGCGCGTGTACGCCGACCTGTCACATGTTCAAAGGAAATTCTGCTGCTGGAAGACGCCCTGCAAGCTCGTGCATTGGCGACACAGAAGGGAAAGTGTATTTTGGTGGCAGGTCAGTAGGGTTGGAGCACTGTGCTTGATGAAGTTGGGGACGTGGTTTGTACGCCGGTTGCTGTGAGACTGTGCATTTGCAAAGCATCCTCATTTGGTTGCCTCGCGTTCCAGCCCTCCCCTCAGAAGCATGCTACTGTCAGCTCAAAACTTTCACAGTTCTAACAACCCAGCCATGAAGTGAAGCATTGTGCGCTTGGACGTGGTCCGTCTAGTTCGGTCCATCCAATCTCAATTCATCAGTTGACTGAAATGGGCTGGATCATTGGTGAGTCAAGGGCACCTGCCACAGGAGGCCAATCTCACGTCGCTCGATGCCCTGCCAGTCAATTCGATATTTGGGGCAAGTCCCAAATTGCTGTCAGTTTAGTACAACTGATCTTTCTCCCAACACCAGATTTCAAGGGCGTATGTGCTGCACCACATACAAGGTCCTGAAGTGCAACAGTTGCCCCCATCTGTTCTGTGACTGTCGCCACCCTTTGGTCCAAACACAGTGTTTGCAGCAAGTGCACAACCAAGTCAACAGGAACTGTGCATGTGGCAATGCACAGCATAAATATGCTTGTTGTTACAAACTCATTGGTTGTACAGGGAGAACACATGAAGCGCATAGAGGCCACCCAGCATAATGAATGCACAGAGCTTCACCCCGCTCCAGTGCCACTTCACCCTTCTCCACTCTAAGCAAGCCCAGGTTGTACAGGGAGAACATATGAAGCACATGCAGGCCACTCCACATAAAGAATGCACAGAGTTTCACCATGCTACCTTGCCACTTCACCCTTCTGTACACAAAGCAACCTACAAGGGTTTCCGCTTTTGGGAATTCCAAGCTGAAAAATTGACACAGCCACTCACACCAATTGTACAGCTAATCCAAAAAAATGGACAAAGAAAAATCAGCGCTCATCATCTGCCCAACGCAATTGGCAACCCTCCATATTTGGCGATGTGTCCAGTGGGGAACTCGATTATGGGCAGACCACATATGCCCCCAGCTCAAGGAGCTGCGCCTGGCCCTTCCACACCCATCAATGAAGAATAAAATTCAAAGGAAGGCCCCCAGAACACACACTCCTCAACAAATAGCAGTGCTACAGGCTCCCTTGTGATGTTGTCCAGCCGCCCACTGTGCCCTGACCCAATCACACTCCCGGTTTGATTTTCGTCACCACCCAAGCGTCCAAGCCCTCCTTGCCGCTGCAATGCAGTTCCATGCCTTCGCCATGAGTCGTTGCTCTTCATCCGGTCTACAGTCTCGATGCAACGAAGATCGACTGCTTCAAACCTCCTATGAGCTCCTGAACGACCGATGACAATGGATGCCCGCCTGCCTCCAGCCTGCAGGCCCAGCGTTATGTCATGCTCCGGCCATTCCACCCAACGGCCCGTCTCCCCAGCTGACGTTCCCGCCCAAAATTTTCTCCTCACACCGACGGGAACTGGGGGGCCACCCTCTCCAGCGTGGCGTACACGATCCTGGCCCGCTCCGCCACCAGCGCCGGCCTCTCAGACCGGCCCGTCATCACCTCCATCTCCATCTGCAGCCGGTCTATGGGGTACCATGCCCAGCGCTTGTCAAAGTACGCGCTCACGATCATCGACACGAACCCCTTCCACGCCCCCAGGCTCTCGTCGCTCACCGCCTTGCCCGTGCCCCAGCGAACCACCGACCTGTGGCTCAGCATCAGCGTTATCCAAACGATCGCCAGGAACTCCATGCAGCCCTGCACCTCGCCATCCACACCACCCCCCACCAGCCCGACCCCCAGCCCTCCAATCGCCCTGGCAAGCCCCTCCTCGGTGTATCCACACTCGTACGCCAAGATCGCCGATTCCGCAAAGTCGTTCACCGCGCGCGTGTAGGTCTTGTTGTTCAGAGCGGGATGCTGCACAGCACGAAATTGCGCCGCAATCCTTTCGGGCATCTCGGCCTGCTCCCCAGCTTCTGTGGCGCCACCCCGCCGGGTGAAGGCCAGAGTCACCAAACCCCGGCCCCAGGCGCCCTTTGACCCAAGCCCCTCCCTTGGGATCCGCCCCATGCGTTTTGGCCTCAAGAACAGCCTCCTGCCGCTCTTGACCGCCATGGGGAAGCCGGAACTGCTGGGCGAGCCATGAAACGGATGCTTCGGGCAGGGGAGGATGCGAGATCCAAGGTAGCCGCGCCCTAACGGCGTCATCCGATCGTCGCGGGTGGGCGCGGCGGATCCGGCCGTCGATTGGGAGCGCCCTCGCCGCGTTGGGAAAATGCGTCCACGGGCTGCCGCCTGTGATTGGGGGAACCGGAAAAGTGAGGGGCGGTAGAGGGGCCAGAAGAGTGAGGCGGTTGCGGGGTGGTGGGGTGGGGAGCGGAGGGCAGGGGGGGCCACGGGGTGCGGCGCGCGGTGGAGAAGGAGGGGTGTGGAGTGCTCTGCTGTTGTATCCGGCGAAGACAGCGCAAAGCCTCTGGCCAATGCGCAGATAATGCCCGCAAGTTGGTTGGAAACAATTCTTGAAGCTGCCAACAGCAGCCGGTTCTTGCTAAAAAAAAATCGTTTTCCTGTCTAGTTGTCGCTGTCAATTAATACCCATATTTTGCGCAATCTGTGTGATGATGCAAACGTGGGCAACCCGCCCGTGGGAGTCCAATGGCGAGGCTCGTGGCCACCGCCGAGCATCGGTTGCCATCCGTGGCCCTTGCGTGCTGTCTTCTGAACAACCGACGGCACGTCCTGTTCGCCGCTAGGTTCAGTGGCCTTGTCCGCCAGGCACACGCCAAACGCCATGTTAACCTAACATGGACGCAGCCTCGAAAGCAGGCGCCTCACGAAGGACGTTCTTGCCTCTTCTGCGCTTCTTCCGACCTGTCTGACTCGTCCAGTTTCTTAGAACCCACGCTCTCTGGCCCCTCCCTTTGTCCGCTGGGCACTGAGGGGGCCAAAAGCGGATTGTACGCAGTCAACTGCAGCATGTAGCCAACAGCCAAGCATATTCGTAGTATGCGAAGTCCTCTGATCCTGTCTGCATGAAGGTCGTTTTGCAGCGAAAGCAATCATGATCCGCATGGGGCCACCACCCTTACCACCCCTCCCCTTGTGACGCCCTGCTACATCTTAACGGAGATGAAAATCTTGTGTGAATGCGCAATCAACCAATGCAAGCATGGCACAACTTAGACACACAGCGGCAGCTCGTGCGTTGCTACGCCTCCAACTTTTAGTTTACAGATCGTCATGCGACGGGGCTCACGACAGACCAAAGTTCAATTGAGTTTTAAGCACCCAAAATCGACGCCCTGCCGCCTTGCAGCCTCACAGCCCTACCACTCCCCCCCGGGCCAGAGATGGACCGGGCACAGGCGTATCAGTCGAATGCGATGAGAAAAACGACAAGAAAAATGAAGGCTCTGGCCCCAAAGCTCCCCATCCCCTGAAGCTTTACAGAGCGCCAAGCACCAGTTTAAAGTTACTACTGCACATCCATCCTGCTTCCCCGTCAGCAGACATGCCAGTTGCGAGTCAAAACGTGATGAGCGTACCCCCTTAAAGGGTAGCACTTGCTCGGACCATGAAACCACACATACCCCACAGCACCAAACGCCCAACCAGAAAGTCCCACAGGCCCATATCCCCTTGCAGCTCAAACATGGGACACATCCACTGCAGCTGAACGCCCACTTATGCGCAACCTCCCAATACCGGGCATCCCAAACTCCCTCGGACAAAAGCGTTTCGACTCAAAAACCACCTGCAGGCCTTATTTGTCCTTAGGGTCATCGACACCCCCGCAACCAAGTGCTCTTGAACATTGTGTCACCTCGTTGCAAAACGCGTTGCCAACGCGCACATCTGGCACCCTAAAGCCATAACTACTTGGGAACCCACGTGTTCCATCCATGGCAACAGAGTGTTATGGTGGTCAGGCATTTCCCGCCCACCTTGCCACCCCTCAAGCACAAGTACTCTGCTTCAGCAACAGTCAAAGGGTATCACGGCACCAGCCAGGCCGAGTGTACTGCTCTTTCCTGACACCAATTCCCCGACATTTCCAATATGTCGTATGTTGCTAGACTGGCACATTGAGATTGGGATCCAGCGTCGACGACGCATCTTCGGACAACCCTGCACCAGACTGGCAGTAGCCCATGGCCATCGGTCCTGGCTGCCCCTCCAGTAGGTTGGTTTCTGGATTGGGGGCTCCCGAAGGCAGGAAGGGAATTGGCTTCATGGGCTCAGGGAGTACCATCACGTCCACGCCACAGTCGATGGCCACAGCAGACGCCACAGCAAGGACGTCGGGCTTGGACGGGTAGGCCTGGACCATCAGGCGGGCCACCTGAATGGGCTTCAGCACCTGCGATCGCCACGCAAATTTGTCCATTTTTCGTATCAAAACACGAATCGAAGCACAGGGAGATGCAAATATCTGCTGCCTGCTTTCACCAGGCCAGTTCACCACTTGACCAGTTAGGCCACAGTTAAACGCAGCCTTGAAGGCACAAGACTTGACATACCCATCTTCAATAGATCCCCCAGGAGGAAATGATCATTGCTCTCGTTCACTGTGGAAGCTTTCACAATACACTGCAGTTCGCAGTCACCTACTGGCACTGAACAGGACTTGACATACCCATCTTCCATGGATCCCCCAGGAGGAAATGATCATTGCTCTCGTTCACTGTGCAAGCTTTCACAATACACTGCAGCTCGCAGTCACCTACTGGCACTGAACAGGAAGCCCACCTTTTTCACAATAGTGCCCACAAAGTCGAGCATGGCGTTGTGCTCAGAGCGGAGGATCTCCTTCAGGCGAACGACTGCCTGGTTGGCCTTCAGGTACTCCAGGTCTATTCTGTGCCCCACAGTCGAGCTGGGCAGCGTCGTCTGGATCGTCATGTTCAGCTGCCGTCGCTCCTCCACCAGCTGCTGCAGCTTCTGCAGCAGCATCTTCCTCAGTGCCACGATCTCTTCCTTTTGGGTCTTAGACATGTCCAGTGTCGTGATCACCGACTGCCAGCGCTTGAGCTCCTCTGCCTCTGACAGATGGTACTGCCGTGTCGTCCACATTTTGCAGGACACGGGGTTTAGCACTGCAAAGCGCATGCACAACATGCACTGCGACACACAAGAGAAGGGCCATCTTCAGATGCTGCCCAAGTATGGGGCTCAGGGGCACAGCTTGGAGAAAGGAACAGGCGGCTCAATCCGTTAGTGGGACCTATTTGGCTTGTGGATTCAAAGGCACCCACAAGGGTAATCTGCACGTCATGCAGAGTTGAGAGCACCAGTCAAGGCAGATTGTAACAAAGAAAGCTAATGCACCGCACAGGTGTGCATCAACACATCGTAGGGGACTAGAAACCCTGGGCCCAAGAGCACAAAGCCCCCAACACAATGCACCAAACCCCTTTCAAATATGCCTGGCTAGATCACACCAGGTTCATTGTGATGAAGCAACATGCAAGGGCTCCCACATACATGTGGTTGTGGTGTCACAGCAGCACCCTCCTTGTGCATTCTGAGGATCACGCTGAGTCTGTGAAAATGATGCTACCAACTCACCACTTCATTGATGAGCTTCTCTATACGGGCTTCAGCATCTCCATCGGAGCTGGCCTCCACCAGTGCCGATGATATCTCTGTCACATAGTCCTGCAGCATACATCACTCTTACGTTCTGATCAATCCATGCAAAATCCACACACTTTTTCCGCATCATGCAGCACTGACAGGGATGTGGCCACACAGTTTTCATTGCACTGCATCCAGGACACTTTGAAGTTGCAAAGAGTGTCCAGCAGAGCGTTGCACATGCAAGGGCAGGCCTCATCAATCTGACACCTGCAATCGAAGCACGGCACCATTCCAAAATCTCCACCAGCAGCCACAAACGAGACATTACAGGAGTCCTGCCACAATCCATAAACCGCAGACTTGTATTTGACTGGGCAACAATTCTCACCCCATCAGGAATGGAGCAGTTCAAACCTGAACGTGACAACCCAAGAAACTCCCCTCCCAAGCCTTTGTCTTCCTACCTGCCAGATCTTTATGACCTCTTCTGGCGTCATCTTCTTCAGATTGTCTGCAGTGATGCGCATCACGGATCCCTTCCGCAACTCTGACAGAGTAACAGTCGTCCGGGCCAACTGGACTCCTTCAACATCGGCCTCTGGTGCAGCCTCCAAGAGTTGCTGCAAAGAATCAAAGAAAAAGCAGCACTGTGAACAAAGGCATCTTGACCCAGCCATTCTGGGCAACCTGGACTGGGACTGATATGCCCCAGGGTGCTGGCCTGTAAGTCAGAGCATTTCATATTCCAGAGACCATTTTTGGGACACTTTTCACATTCAAACAACTGCAACTGACTGACAGTCTGCCCAGCTATCTCATTTCGGGGCAGGAAAGCAAGGACATACCATTTGCGCTGCATAAATTATGTCCTACAATGGGATCTTATTGCATGAATGAACAAAAACCTTCATGGCCAAAAATCACACAGTACGCAATTTCCCTGCTGCATCCATGTGCTAACATTCCGCATGATTGGCAGCACTGCCAAACCATATTTGCAGCACTCATTTCACAGACCACAGCCTCAGAGTCGCCAAAGTGGATACCATAACTATACAAAACATCTGATTAGAACAATGCGGGCAAAAGGACATTGTCAAGGGGGGAGGGGGGGGAGACACATTATTGGCGACAGTCAATCCACAAAAACCAGGGACAGGTTCAGCAGGCAGCCACCACAAGCACCACAAAGCATAAGGGGGAATGCAACGGCTCTTAGGGAAGTGGCATACCTTGCTGCTCTCCTGCATCACCCTGATCTGTTCGTCCCTCATCGCCAGCACCTTCTGGAGGATGCCATTCTGGCTCTGCAGTGATCCGTTCTCCAGCTGCAGATTTTCCACAGTGGAACGCAGGTCTTCGATCTCCTTGTGCAGCCCATGCACCTTTGCCTGCAAGGCAGCTCCAATATGGGTCAGCAACAAGGCCCAGCAACAGCCCTCCAGCAGGCTTCCAATCGCTCATCCAGCCACTGTACTGGGATACAAGCACTCCCCAGGTCTTCTTCAGTGAGTGGTGCATCCCAAAGCCCTTACCAAATTACCAACAACACTAGGGTTCCACCATAAAGAATGGGCACACAATACACTCTCCCTTGAGCTCCAATTCATGGCTACGGACACCACCAGCAGTCATTCCTGCAGAAGGAAGGAACATAGTCCGCCAACCACCTTTTGCCTCTCGCGGAAGCGCCTCTGTGCCAGTCTGTTCTTCTCCTGCATGACCTGCTGCTTCTTCTCTGCAGACCGCTCTTCAGGCTCGTTCTCTTCCCGCCGCTTGCGCTGCTGCCTGGCGGGCGCCCCACCAGACCCGCTCTCGGACGAACCCCGCCCACCGTATCCGCTCTCCTCCTCTCCAGTGAACACGAACGGTCCCGAGCCCCCGCCACCCTGGATTGTCCTAGGACTAACTCCTGGCGCCACCTCACCCTGCACAAGGTACGATGGACTCATGTTATCACAATTGATTGCAAGATTGTTACAGCTCCACCACTGGATACAAATAACTGTGCTGCACCATTGTGAATGAACAACAATGCCAACAACACCTCCACCTCCTCTTGAGCTCCTGGAGTAGGTGGATAAAGTGTCACAACTCTGATGCATAACACTTTGTGAAATGGCAATAGAAATGACAAGAAATGACAAGAGCAAAACTGAAGAGATTTTGCGCTGTCCTTGCAAAAAAGGTGCACAGCGAGAGGTCGCTGTCTGCCATGTCCGCTCACCCCAATGAACATTGGCGCACCCTTGCCCACTGCTGCCCCGTTGTCCCCAATCGCCTTGGAGCTCTTCGATCTCGCAGCCGCCCCATCGCCATACGGTACTGTTTGTGGAATGGAGTTGCCACCCAACGAGGTCAGGTAGCTCTGCAGCGCGTCGTCCATATCCAAGTAGTCGTCCACAGAGTTGAAGACCCCTGGCGGCTGCCCAGTAAAGTTCATGCCACCTTCAAATTTCGTGTCCTGCTGCCCAGCTTGCGGCCACTGTTCCTTTTCCATGCGTGACCCCTTGGCGCCCTCCTGTTCCACACCGACGGGCGCAGCGATCGTCAGGGAGACGCAGATGGGAACCACAACGCCACCACACGAACTGAAGCGATTCGCCCAATTTCTGTCCTCCCCAGCAAGCATCGCAATCGTCTTTCGAGCACAATGGCGCAAGTGACAGAAGCAGAGAGAAGCAGGGCACCGTCCCGAGCGATGTGCAGCGAACCACGACCCGCTGGGGGCCGGAACAGAGTGTAGGGTACAGGAGGCGCCAGGCAACCAGGTGGCAAGTTCACAAATACATCACAGATAAATCAGACAGATGCAACGCAAGATGCTGGGTGCACTGCATGCCCTGGAGACCCCAAAACGCCTGCGGCTGCTTTTTGGCAGTTGGAAGGCGCACACGCCCAGAGTGCAACCCACAGAATCACCTGCTCCGCGAATTCTCGGCTAGCTGGGAAACAGCTGGCCCGGGCGCACTTGGCGCCTGCGCGTCCGTTGCCCAAGGGGCAACACAAAAATCATCAAACCATCGCAGCACTGCAGCATCCCGCGCCGATTTCCAACACCCAGCGGTGGCCAAAGCGTGCCGGGGCCCATTGTCGGCACACACGTGACGAGAGGCCCGGGGAGTGGGCCAGCAACTGCAATCCTCCAACTTGAGCACACGGGTTTCATCAGATGGCCGGGCCCGTTCTCCGAAAATTTGGAGACGCTGCCGGACCGGTGGCCTGAAGCTGCCGGCGGCGTAGCGCCCAGGCGCCGCCCGCTCTTCCTTAACTCCCCCAAGTGTGAGGCCGCCCGCGGCACCCCCGCTCCGCACCCATCTGCCACACAACTCCAACTGTGAAAATTCCGCACCTCTCGGCGCCCAAAGATCGTCTTTCTGGCCTCCGAGCTGGTAGAGGCGCACGTCGGCCACCCAGGTCGCAAAGTCACCACCACACCTCGCCGAGCACCGCCACTTCAGCCCCCCAATGCCACAGTGGCGTCTGCCGCTCTCGCGTTTTGCGCGCCCGGGCGAGATTCGCCCCAAGGCCGAAAACGCGTCGCCGCCCAAGTCGCGGGCAGGTGCTGTTCTGGCACCAGCTCGACTGGCGGGCGGTGAAGGAGCGCAGGCTTCCAAAGGGTCGCTGCGAGGAGGGCTGGATGGGTGCGAGAATGGCTTCATAGTGGGGGTGGATTGATGGGGCATGTGTGGCTCACGTAACCCTTAGGAGGAGTCCTGATCGGACCGGGTGCGGGTGAGGTACAATGGGTTTAATGGCGAGGGGCGGGTTTATCCGGGGTTTTCCCGCGGGTTTTGGTTGGGTGGGTACCTTGCAGGTTTGGTGAAGGTGCAGCGGGTCTTTCTGGAAGGAATTGCCGATGAAGGTTCGGCGCATGGTGAGAAAGGGGATGCTGGAAGACGCTGCCTCCCTTGGAAGGCAGGAGTGCCCGTGAGTGGTTGCGTGTTGCCCAGTTGTGTTTGTTGTGGATTCTTTGGGTTGTTGGTGGGAACGGAAACGTAAAAGAAGCGAGGCGGCTCTGCGGAAATGTGCGTAGCAGAAGGGAAAGCGCAACGTCGCTGAGCATTTCGAAATGCAGATCTTTCATGATTGTAGCGAATAAGTCAACAGTTTCCGTCGGTGCCAAGTCGGTGACGCCATCCAGACACAACAGATTGCTGTCACTGGACGGCTAAATGTGTTGTGGTCAACGCACTTTGTGCGTTTCACATCGCAGAAGCTCTCTTCTATGCTTCAAAGGCATTCTGGGACTCAAACACAACATTGTCTACCTTGTTTGCTGCTTTGGAGAGCAGCTGTGGTGAGAATTTGGCACAACAAAGTCATTCCACGTGCATAGGACCTGCTCTTTTAACATCCAACCTAATTGTCATCGTTTTTATTGCATTTATTGAGTTCAACTGTGCCATGTGATACACAAACTGGAAATTAGTGCTTTATCCAGAGGCCAGTTCAACTATGGTTACAACTTGTTCAACATACAACTTGGTCCACTGGCCGGGCTTCATACGGGGACCCTTTTCCAGCTTTACCAGGTCTACAAGCAGCCCTGAGGCCTTAAATAGAGATCTCGCCCGGCGGGGTTAGCCCATGATCGCCACATACGTTCTTCCTCTCCCTTCCGGTCGGCTCCAACAGTGTGGTTCTGTACTGGAAGAAGTTTAGTAAGTGTAGGACAAATTTCCACAGTAGGTGTCCAATGCATTTGGGTACATGACAAGTATGGCCCTGGGTTATGTGCTTTGTGTCTAAAAGGGACGGCGAAAGACGCCGTGATTTGAGATATCATTGACTTTCACAAGTGCGAGTGAGGTGGGAGAGTGATTTTGTCAAGCGGAGCAAGGCCCATCTGTTCAGGCCAGGCCTCGCGGCATTCTTTAAACTCTGCGCGAACACATGCACGTCCTGCGCTGGACGCTCCAGAGGTGCATCAGTGGCCTTGGGGAAAGGACTGGACGTGCTGCCAGCGACAAGTGAAAGCCATTAAGGATGAATATCGCTGCCATGCTTTGAACTGCTGTTTCGCTGCTATATTATTGAACCACCATTCAGTGAGGCAGACAAGAGCGCAGAACAGCACAGCTTTCACGACGCAAAGGTGTTTTGCCCTGAAGAATTGCTCGGCTTTGTGCCGTTGGCCATCTGCGGGAATGCGTGGATGGCGCCAAATATGTAACCGGTGGTGGCCTGGGTAGGCAATCAGCTTTTTTGCTGTTATGCCTTACTCTGCAACAATTCATTTGCATATCCGAAACAGCTTTCAAAGTGCAGTACAACCGCATCCTCTCTGCACTCCTGCTTAAATTTGAAACAGGAGAAGAGCAGAAGAAAAGATAGGATAGATGGACTGCTGTAGGCAAGCAGCGTGCTGCTTGCAATGCTGGTGGTGATGAACCTTGTTTGGTCAGCATGCAGCTGACTTGAACACCCCTGGAGTACCACTGTCCCCGTGTCTCAGTGTCGTCTCAAGGAACACATGCTCATTCTATCAAAACTAGTCACTGGTGGCCACAATTGCTCGATAGGCACTCAATTGTCCCTTCCACATGCCACAACTTGCCGACCTCCACTTCGCCAATTTGGCACAAATTTGATCGCGTTATGCACCCATCAACAGGACTGGCTCGTTCACGTGCCTCCCCCCCCCTTCCCTCGTTCCCCCAATCCCAAGCAAGCCACTACAGCTTTCACGACCATCTGAAATGGATCAACCTGCTGACAACCAAAGAAGCACATTTCCGCCATCTCCAGCAGAATCTTGCGGCACACAGGTATCGGGGCTACCGTGTTGCTTGTGAGGTGGGCATCAGGGCCAGACATCATGCTGAGGGAGCCAGCCTGTCCACATCCCACATACACAAATCCCCTGCGTCCTGCCAGTGTCCCACCAGTATTCTGCTGGTGTGCAGTTCATCAGCTTGGGCAGGTGCTGCTTGGAAAAACCCCCATGCAACAAGCACATTCTCTTGCCAGCGCCAGTCTCCATGATCCCCTGACCCTGCAGCAAGTGTATTTGCATTCCATGCCAAATACCTCAAACCCTGGAGCAGAAGATCACAAGCGAGGGAGTGCAGGCCTCAGAAGGTCGAACCCCCATGGGTTCAGGCAAGGGCTGATCGCCACTTGTGGAGCACATGCAGAGGAAGGAACACAGCAGTAGCCTATCTTGTGGACTTCACACATGTCAACCAGCGTCTTGCAAGGCCGTCCGTATCGCTACCGAGCAGAGGAACTCCTTCCTGCCTTCACATGTGGCCCATTGCACTTGCACCAGCGTTGGACTCTTTGGACCATGGCATTTGTGATGTTCTGCTGCAGTTTGTGTAGGCGATGTGCATCGAGCCCAGCCGGAGATCCCGAGGATTGCAACAAGCCATTTACAGCTGAGACAGGTGCACGACGACTCTCTGGCAGTTCTGCACCATGGCCATCAGCACCTCTCCACAGCTGGGGCGCCAGGGCCTACAAGTCTCTGCACTGCGTGAAGAACCTTTGCAGCTAGCTTCTGTCTGCGCATTGCTGCACTGCAGATGCCACTGCCAGTAGGTCTGGCTTTACGGGGTAGGCATGGACCACCATCCTTGCTGCTTGCATGGGCGTCAGAATCTGCATCAGAAGCTTGTTAGCCTCATCCCTATCAACACCGTAGAGCAACAGGCCCGAATAGGACAAGTAAAGAGAGCTGGGAAGTCACACACACCAACACATATTTGCAGCCACCTTCAGTGGGTCACAGCAATGTGTGTTGAAACCTATTGGCAAACATACACACTGGCACATGCACGTCTGCCTGTATCAGCAGGGCAAGTCAATACACTATCTGGCAAGCACTGGCAGGGATGAAGCACAAGAGGGGAAGCACTTTTAACAGCCTCCTGTCCTTGAGCATCTCTTGGGAGAAACAGCCACAAGAGCAGCACTTTACCAACAAAGACAAGTGACAATCTTGCACAGTACTGTGCACAACACACATCACACCTGCTTCAACATTTTCGCAACGAAGCCAAGCATGGTGTCGTGTTCAGACCGCAAGTTGTCCTTCAACTGCATTACTGTCTCCTTTGCCTTCACGTGTTCTACCCCTATTTTTTCCCCTTGTGTTGAGCTGGCAACGGTGGTGCGAATCGTCGCTGCCAGCACCCTACGCTCATCCATCACCATCTGCAGCCTTTGCAATAACACAGACCTCATCTTGATAATCTCCTGGGTTTGTGCTTCTGTCAAACACAATGTGGGGAAGAAATCCACCCACTTCTGAACCTCCTGGACTTCCGAGCTTGAGCCCTGGTGGGTCGTCCACATCTTCGTGCAGACAGGATTCAGGACAGCGAAGCGCATGCTGAGCATGATCTGGAGCAGCATACATGCTTGTAAGATGCGAGTTAGGAAACGAAATACAAGCCATTCTCTTTCATCCCTGGCAATGCCATGGGAGCCAGTCACGTTTCCCCTGTTGTTCGTGTCTCTGTCACGCAAATGCACAAACCCTCCTGCAGACAAACTGGGAATGGAGACTCTCCCTTCCATGTTGCAGAAGGCAAAGCAGCAGTCCCAAATCCAACAGCCGCAGCAACCTCAGGGAAGAGAACAGCATCCACCAGCACACGAGTGTGTACATACTCGGTTCGCCATTGCAGAATACCAGTCAAGCATGCCTGAGCACCATCATTTTGGCAAGGAGTTGCACCGAGGGTCACTGCAAAGCACAGGAAAAAATGCGATGGGGTGCCCCTGTGCCTCACCAACATATGTTGGAATGGCATGTCTTTGGACACATGAGCGTTGACCCAACAATTGACAACTGCAAGCAAAAAAAGCAATCGCAAAGGCTATGGCAACCAAGGGGGCAGCCATCCCCAGTGCCACAAGGAGCTGCCACCCTTGCAGCAATTCAAAAGGTAACACAAGCAAGCACATATCAGGCCTGTTTGTGGCTCCTTCGCTCGCATTCAAGGTTATGGAGCACTACTTCTGCTCTCCACAAGGTTCTTTCCGGCAGTGAGGCCCTCTTTGGCCTTCATCACAGATGCTGTGGAGATACAGCAAAGAAAGAAGTCTGCACACATCACCAAGGAGAGTTTCTCTGCTAGATAGCTGAACAGATGCCCCAGAAGGCCTCAAAATCACTCACCAACTCGTTGACCAGCTTTCCCACACGTTCTTGCGCATCAGGATCCCTTTCTGCTTCCACAAGGGCTGCCGACATCACGTTCGCATACTCCTGAAGCACGCAATAGAGGTCAAGGATCAGATCATACTGTTGAGGCTTGTGCATCTGCCGATGGGAAGTGAAACAAAGAAGGGACAAGGGATTCAGAAACCAAAATTTCTAAACACCAAATCAATTGCTACCAGATTATGCAACACCCGCAATAAAGTGCACCACCTCTACTTCACAACAGAGATCACAGACAAAGCATCTTGAGACATAATTACAAGGTTGGAAACTTACTAGGTAGAATGCATCTGGTTGCAGCAAGCACCCTTGCCTGCCCTTGTACTTGTAAGGGCAGTGCTCCAGCGATTGTGGCAACATGCAATCAAATCAAAAATCCACAAACTGAACTACTTTGCCAAATTCTGCCAGCAGCCTAGACATCCCCAGGTGTGCTGGCTGAATGCTTACCCGCCAGTACTGCTTCAGCTCCTCTGGCTGCATCTTCTTCAGCATGTCTACCGTGACTTCCACCACAGTGCCCTTGCGGAGCTCAGACAGAGTGACTGGTGAAAGGGAAGCCTGATTTTGGTCTGCCTCATGGTCATGCCAAAAGCACTGTGCCACCAAAACACACGCCCAATGGCCAAGTCAGGCCACTGGGGTATATTGTCCATCCACGATTCAAACTTTTGGCTGGATGACAACTCAGCTGAGCCAACAGTGGCAAATGTACTACAGAAGAAAATTATGCTGTACGATTTACAGGGGAGCTCCTTGCTTAGATCTATATGCAACACATTGGAATTCAAAAAAAAGAAAAAAAAAGTCACTTGCACCTTGGAACAGAGTTCGTCATGCTTGTGTAAATCCTCAAGACTGCTGGTGGTCTGCACAGGGCACAGTGCACGACTGCACAACTGCCTGTTGCATGCAGGGTTGGACATGCTGCCGAAGGAAGCCAGGCAACACTCTGGAATACTTGTCCATTAACTTGTACACATCTGGGTATGTTCTGTGCTTCCCTACACCTGGGAACAGTTGATTTGAAGACAGATTCAATGGGTGTTTTCCCTTTGCCACAGATTGCACTACATTTCCATTCCATCAGATTTTATCCCGTGTACTCACTTTGGTGCGGTCTTGCAACTCCTTAATTTGCTCATTCCTCATGTCCAGTACTTTGTGGAGGATGCCATTCTGACCCTGCAGCGTTGTGTTCTCCAGCTGGAGGCTCTCCAACAACGCCTTCAGCTGTTGAACTTCCCTCTCAAGTCCATTTACCTTCACCTACTCAGCAAGGGCGACCCACAGTGACAGCCAAATTCACTACGGCTGACTACAAATGTCCTGTAACAAAAAAGGCTGAAGGGCAGCCAAGAGTGGCATCGTGGGTTGTATCCATTCAAGTGCATACTATAATGGCCATCTGGAATGCCCCATTACAAGATGTGTGAGGCACAGCGTTAAAACCTCCAAGACCAATGTGTCGATTTGCAGGGGGCCAGACTGACAAAATGCATCGCCGAGGACACACTCACAACAGCAGAAACAGTCATAGCAGCAACTACTGGCAGGTGAGGTCAAGCTTGACCAGCTTAACTGTGTGTTGTTGCTCATCAGAGTGCACGGAGAATCAACACTAGCTTGTGTCATGCTTTCCTAAGAGGTGCACAACCTTGAAAACCATCCCCTTCATCGCCCCAGTGCTGACAACATGAACTATGTGTGCAGGCAGTGGCAAAGGCCACCTTAAGATGCAACTCTTCATTGTGGGCCACTTACGTCCAATTGGCACACACACCAGGCTGGAAGAACCTGGAGCAATGGAGTACTGCATGAACCCCCACAAAGGTACCGTATTTACCCGGTATTATTAGGCACCCCCTATTAGTATCCACCCCCCTCTTTGGGGGTCGAAACCACGTTAGCATCCATGACCAGGTGTTAGTATCCACCCCCAAACGCAGACAGAAACGAGCAAAGGCACGGATGGTGGCAAAGGAAGTTGGCAGCTGGTGTTGGACCGCGTTGCCTAGACTAGACCAAACCGTGTTCCCTGCGATTCGCACATCGACGGGGACGATCGGGTCGGAGTGGATGGTGTCGAGTGAGAATTTGAAAGAGGGCCTGGGAAAGGCCGCATGGTTGACTGGCCGCCGTTTGCGCTCTCAGCGCAGGATCGCAGGGCATCGACCGATGCTGCGGGGCCCAATCAAAGAAGCAGTCGAGAAATCAAAGCCGCCTTGTTTCTGGATTGAGTTAACCTCTTCCCTGGCCGGCCAGTGTAGGTTCCGGCCTGCCGCCTGCCAAGGGCGCCCCAAGGCCCAGCGCCAGGAATGGGCAGGCAACGGCGTTGGTCAGGGCTGCTGCCGTTGTGAGATCCCGCCTTTCAAAACTGCCTACAAAGCACTGACAAGGCCAGGCCCGTCCCCAACTCGCACATCGTACTAGCTACCAGGCCACAAACACAATCACAAATCACATCAGCCTTCCCAGCCGCAATCAGCCTGGCAAAGCGCCGTGTTTCAAGCTTATCGTTGCGACGTTGCGCCCCAGCGAGTTGAGACCCATATCAACCCTCGTTCTTTGCATTGCAGAGGCGCGCCTCAAGCATTCCAGCAAACGCCTATTGGCCCCAATAGCCAGTCGCCACCACCTGATGTAGCCCCAAGTCAAGGCCGCCAGCTCCCGTGCAGGTGCTGACAACATTCCGCACTAGCATTGCCATTCTTGTCCATTTCTGGGCATTTCACAGCCTATTTGTCCAAAATTTTCTCTGTCTGCTCTTTGGGATCAGGGGTCCAAACCGCGTTAGTATACATGACCCACTATTAGTATCCACCGCTCATTTTTGGGGTCCAACAAACGCCTACTAATACCGGGTAAATACGGTATTCATCCTTGCCACTCATTTGCTCCCCTTTTGACAGGTCTCAGCAGCAGACCAGACAATCCCCTCCACAACCACCATTACACCATCACAATCTTCTCTGGAAAGACTGGAGAGGCTATCCCCACAGCTATCACGTAGTTTCCATACACAAAGCACAGAATGAGATGCACTAAAATCTGCACAATCACCTTTCTCTTTTCTCGGAACTGCTTCTGCGCCACCTTCTGCTCCTGCCACGCCTCCGCCCTCCCCTCGGGCTTGTTCACGGCATCCGCATCAGCCTCTAGGTTCGCCGCCTCCCGCCGCTTCTTCCCCCGCCCCCGCCCCTTCCCCTTCGCACCATCCCTCTCCCTGGCTTCCTCCTGGGCCTCCTCATGGCCACATTCCCCAACAGAGGTCAATGCGCACTTGTCCTCCTGCGCAAACACCTTGCCCAGCACCTCATCGACTTCATCGCTGGCCACCCCATTGCTGGCCCCTTCATTTCCAACATCAAGTCTGGCCCCCCAGGGACCGGTTGAATCTGCGGTGCCGCCGAACCCAGTCTGGGATTGTGGTTCCCACAATGCGGGTGGCCTATCTGCAGCGGAGTCCTCCAACAAGCTTGGGTCAGGTATTGGGCTGTCCCAGAGCGCGGAGAGGAAGTTGTGGAGGGCATCATCCATGTCGAGGTAGTCGTCGGCTGCATTGTTGGGCACTTCAGATGGAAATTTGAATGGGGGCGCCATTGGAGAGGGCGGGAGGCCAGAGGGCTGGGAGGCCTGCGGGGGCTTCTGATCCATTCCCGGAGTGGGCCCACAGCAGTTCTCTGCGAACGCATTTGTAAGGGTTCAAGTGAAGGGGACAGATAATTGGCAGGGTACAAAGTTATTGCCACAGAAATTGGACGTGACACAATGCTCGCCTCTCCAAGCGTGTTGTCGCACGCGGGTAAGGTCGCGCGTAGCATTGCAAGAGATGATGGTCAGCGGCTGGGTAGTGGCTCCACGGAACAAGTGCGAATAGTGCGCAAAGGTACCCCAGCAAGTTAGACCCTGTGCAAAGGTTGAAGAACTTGCGCAGGTGTGCGCGGACGCTTGAACGATTACGCCGATGAGGCCTGCGGCCAGGGAAACAGATGGACACTAACATCCCACGGATCGGTAACTTTTCCCGCCTTGGGTTCCGCAACAAGGGGAAAGCCCTTCAGAGAGTCACGTGGGGCGACGAAATGGAAAACGGGGACGGTTGCATTTCAAGCGCCCCGTCTTGCTTCACTGTTCTGACCCAGTTATGGCGTTAAGATAACGAGGGCTCGGCGGGGACTTCAGAACAGTTGGCGTGGCGATGCGCTCCTGGACCTTCGACCGCAACGGCGGATTGACGGGGCATGCGGTAGCAAACCGGCGCTTGCTGGCATGCGCTTGCATACTCTCGGCTGGCCGAGCTCCAGCAGGGCAAAAACCGATGGGCAGCGCCGAAAGATTGTACCCTAGACACCGGAGGACGCGCGCGTAGCGACATCAAGTGCATTGATTGTCCTAGCGAAATCCAGGTGCAGTTTGCCACCAGCAACCCCGCTCAGCCTGTCCACTGGCCGGCGCAGTTGCGAGCCTTCTTTGGACGAAGGGGCCACTGAATCGGCTCAGGAATAGCCAAAAGAGGCGAAGATCCGACCCCAGGTCACCCGTCGCGACCCTTGCGCACAGAGGGGTTATTCCGAATGGGCCTTGCGCGGACATGGAAACAACCGCTGGAGCGGTCTTGCCTGTGAGCACTGGGTGGAAGTCGAAGGGGGTCTGGGGGCCACCAACGCCGGCTGCTTGAGGCGCGAGGCTGTGGTATATTGCCGAGGGCGGTGCGGTAGTGTTGCTTTGGCTGGCCTGAAGCAGCTCCTCCCAAAGCCCGGTGCTCGTTGGGTCCCGCTGTTTGCATGACGTATCGGCAAGGTTGCTATGCGCTCCACTCATCAAATGCCTGTGTCATGTTCACGTGTAATGCGGTACTCTGGCCGGTGCGGAGTGGCGGGCAGGGGCAAGTACTTGGCAGGGGCTGCAGTCTGGTGCCCTGGGTAAGGTTTCCCGGTGGCTTGGGTAAGACAATTTGGTGCCTTACTCAGACACTGCTTTGGTTTTTGTAGGAGGTGTCCAGGGCGTGGAGCCAAGAGAATGCGAACTTGCACTGAACTAAAACTAAAGAGATGTAGGAAGAGGCTGGAGCCGCTTTCACGGTTTGTGAAAGGGCACCCAACTTTTTCTTTTTGTATGTAGAAATGGATACCGCGGTTTGAAAAAGTGCGAGACGTGCCACCTACAATTAGGCTCAATATTGTGAATGAGAGTGTGCTGTGGGCTGGCAACTGATTTTAGCCAGTTGGGTTTAGAGAAGAATGAACGTGAAGTACTGTGCATGAAAGCTGTCATGGCATGGACTGCACGAACTTGGATCGCACGGCGATTTGTTGCTTCGGACTGCATCGGAATTAGACAGATCAGCACAATCACCGAGGCGGCAGGCATCAGTGGGCTATGGGTAAATTTGCCCAAGGCCTGCTGCAAATACCTTCAGGTTACTTGAAATGACTTGCCGGAGTTTTGCTTCTCGCCAGATTGTGCCTCTCCCCACAACCTGAAAAACAAATTTGAGCGCTTTTGTGGGGCCTTCGGACAGGATCACCTGTGAATCCTGACCTGTTGTAGCCTACTGGAGGGGTTTGAACGAAGGCGCATTACATATTCACCGGCTCAACTCTATTTGGCAACTTTTCCTCCGCCCGTGGCCCCTCAACCCGCCTTTCAAATCTCCTGGGAGAGATCCCTGGTTGCGAGTCGCGGATTGAATTTGCTTCAACTTTCCAGCCGCGCTCAAAAAGGCCAACAGTTGGCTGTTTTGTTAACACAGCGAGTTTGATGACATCTTTCCCTCATGGGCCGTTGATTATCGCCTATCCGAATTCGAAGAGACCTCTAATCTTGTGTTCTTTGTCTTGAGGGCTTTGCCGAGACCCTGGTCGCGTCTACGACCCAGCTGATCTTGTTTGCACGCACAAGGTACCTGCACACAAATGCATACGTGCATTTGTTGCAGGGCTGGGCGACACCGATTCCTCGTGGTTTTCGTTGCCCGACCATACACGGTTTCCTTTATTCGCGCAGTGCCAAGGCCGTTAGTTCTGCGTGCAAAAAGTATTGATGTATTGATGATACATTGCTGACTTTACATGGGCGGGCCTGTGCGGGCGCCAGGAGCTGAGGAGTGAATTGCAGCACCGAACCAGCAATGATGAAAATGCACTTAAAATTTAGAATGGAATGGACAATGTCCAGCAATCATTAAATGTACCCAGCAGAATGAAATCGCATCAAAGTTTCCAAAATTTAGAATCCCCGCGGCCCTGACCCTAGCGACAGTCTGCCTGCCACGCAGTTTCTACTGGCAAAATTGACGATATTCCCGTCTGAAAATCGATAATCTCCACGCACCAGTCCCATCCTTTGCTTATTCCGTCAATGCACGAGTCCCTGCTGCCCCGACGGTAACTCCTATTCCAGTGCCACTTGCGACCCGCATGCGCCTTCACGTGTGCTCGCCCACACACGTCCCTCCCCCGACTCAAGCACAAAAGGAAAGAGGAAAAAACTAAGATCAGCTTTAGCATTTATCCACACCCACAAACACTGCGGAGATGCAAACCTTTGCCTTCGGTGGAGTTCACAAGCTGCGTTTTCATTGGGCGATTTCGGTGTCTTTTCACGTTCTGCTCATTTGGGGCCCACGACAATTATGCGAGGCATGTCGTCCTTGACTCTGAAATCCTTTGCAGTTTCGTTGGAGGACGAGAGGAAAGCGAACTTCCCATCCCCCATAACGCGATCCAGCTTTGGCGAAACTTCAGTTTGTGGGCCTTCCGATGCCGACCACACATAGTTGATCTCCTCTGTCTGATATGTCTGCATCACACATGAAGAATTCCACTCAGTTTCTGGGCTTCTGATGAGGCCCATTTCGATTTATCACATGGCACCGCACCCTCAGTGCTCCCGCCCAATGAGATGCATCCCCCAAGCATCTGTACGTTTCATGCAGAAGCCCAGCCATGTAGCAGCACAGGGGTGCTCGTTTCTCAAGCAGGTAGTGCGGAAGCGTGCAGCCACATTTGAATTGTGCTCTAAAGCAGCACGAGCAGTGGCATTGTTGGCTTCAACGCCCTGGCCAACAGTCACGCACAAGCGTGGCCAACTACACGGGCCTGCCTTGCCACCAGCACAGTATCTTAAACTGCGCACAGTAGTTTAGCGGACCTGTCCTACAGTTTCGACCTTTGAACTTCAACTGCATTTCACGTCTTTCAGACAATTGTCTGCGCTGGCCTTTGTGCGCATTTGCCCTGCAATTTTCGCTTCAAAGAAGTCTCTTTGAAGTGCCATAACACATGTTGGAAATCTAGCCGCAGTCCCCTATCCACCCTGCATGTGGGGGCCCAGGGCAACCCCTACAGCATTCCCAGGCGTACAAATCATCCGCCCCCTCTTTGCTGACAACCCAGTCTCTTCAGCAAGTTGCTTTCGGGCTTGAGGGCGCCCTGCCTAGCGTATACGCACCCTACGCTACGCCTGGCACGGCCTACTCCCCGCCTACCCCTGGGAATGCTGGAGGGGTTGCCCTGGGTCCCCACCTGCAGGGTGGACAGGGGACTGCGGCTAGGTTTCCAACATGTGTTACAACATATACGTTTCCAGCGCAAACAGCGGGAGTCTGCCAAAAAGGGCACTTTACCAAATCGATGCCGAGCATTTCGGCCACCACCGCCGGCCCGGGATCCGCCCGGCCTCCGCAGATACGCCACGACGCGTCCCGCCACCTCACCCCCCCGATCCCAAAAATCGCACACGGCGCTGCATGACTCACCTTGGGGGCCCACTTCGACGCCAGGCTCTTCCTGCGCCTCCACGGCGGCACAGCCCGCCCGGTTGTGAGGAAGGCCACACGCATGGCCGCGCACAGCAAGTCGACAGCACCCAGAAGGTCCTCAGACGCGCCCACGAAGCAATCCGGTGCCAAATTCAGCATGTTCTCGTACTCGCGAGTGGGATTGGCGATTGCAAATTGATCCCGAAAGGCCGGCTCGACAATCAGGGCGGCGTCGCCGGCGGTGCCTGTGACGATCAAATGGCTGTGGCGAAGGTTCTCGAAGACCTGGGTGGCCGGGAGGGGCGGTGTTTGGCATCCGCCCGTTCTTCGGATGATGACGCTGTGGCCGGCGGCGGACAGGCGACTGGCCAGGTCCTCCACTCCGGCTGAACTGTGTCGCGTGGCGGTGCCGACATCGCGGGCGACCTGGATGACATTGTGGAGAGACGATTCAGCAGGGGAAGGGGAGGAGGGTGGGGGGCGGAACTGTGGCTGGCGGAGGCGGAGAGGGCGGAGAATGGATGCGAGAGAATGGAGCTGCTGGCAAGGGACGGGCCGCAGAAAGATGGGAGCGGCGCGATCTATGGGCGGACGGCGAGTCGGCGATGCGAGGGGAGAGAGCGAACGCCCTCGGTGGCGATCGATCCGAGTTGTAGAAATTGGCGGCCGGCACGCGGCGGGCATATGTGGGCACCAGGGGGGTGCGTGCCATGGCGCCGGCCGTTGCGCGCCCGCCACGGTGCCGTATGGGTCAGAAACATCCATAACAACGATCGAGTTGCCCGTTCCCCACAACGCCGTTGCGGCATAGACGTCTGTATGGGGCCCACCGGGCGATTGTGATCCCGACGCGCGAAATTTGCTCTCTCTCGCCCGTCAAACGCGTGGCGCACCTGCGCGGCGAAGGCATCCTTTGGCTTGCACAGCCGCAGCAGCTTCTGGCGCTGCGACTCCGTGTCCTCGGCCGTCCAGGCCGCCGGCGCCCCGTCGTCGATCTGCACCGCCGCCGAAACTTGAGCCAAAAGCCCGCGCGGAGAAATCAACCACCGTCCAGGACCCACCCCCCCTCGCCCGCCGCCGCGACAAAACCCTATAACCGCACTGCGCCACCCCCACCGACGACCGGGCGCACAATCCAGCCGCGGTCCGCCGGCGGCACACAACCCGCCCAAGCCCCAGCTGATCCACCGCCCGCCGCAATTCGCGCCGATCTCAGATTGCTCCCGATTTCCCCCCCCCCCTCCTCCCCCTCTCCCCGCCCCTCCTCGCAGCAGCCGCGGCCGCTTTCCGGCCCCATACCGACGCACCTCGAGATCGAAAACGGACTCCTCGGCTGCGTCCATCTCGCCGCGTCTGTCTTCCGCGGTCGCCTCGAAACCTCTCTCAACCTCGCCGCCCGACTTTCGCCGCCGCGGAGCAGTCCCCACTTCACCGCAGCTGGGAAACAGCGCCGGTCTTCTGTGTACTCGACGGACCGTGCGCGCGGTGCACTTAACGTCGGAGTCCCCGGCAAATATCCCGGGGAGCTGGTAGCCGGCGGGGCAGGCGCGCGCTCGCCCGCCGCGCTCAATGATTCGGCAGCGTTCCGTTTCGTGTTGGAGCTCTACATGGAGCACGTGACCACGGGCGCCGCACGCGCTGGGCGATATGGGGAATGTGGGGGGCGCAACGGGATGCCTGTCGCGTTTTCGTACTGCCGCTGTACGGCCCACCGTACTTTGATGTGTACATTGGGCCGTACCTGCGATGGGCCCCGTGGGACCGGTGGCCGGGAGCCGGGCAGGAAACAGCAAATATTCATCAAATTATAGGGCAGCATGTACATTAAGCTGAGTATTTCGATACATTAGTGTGCTAAGATGCCCGGGTCTGAGGTGTTTGGGCAACCGGGCCCGGTGACCCTGTTACCGCGTACGGGTGTGTACCCTTGTACAGCTGCGTGTATGGATGGGGCTCGGACTAAAGGGGTACTGCCAGCAAATGGGTGCGGGTGCGTACGGGGGGCGTGTGGGTGCTCGCGCCGACAAAGGCGGCTGCAATGGAGCTGGGTACCAGGGCGGTGTACGATTGTGGGCGAGCGGCCAGCAACATCGGCCTCATGAGGGCCAGCACACCGGGAGGGACAGAGAGCGTGCGCGCCAGCGACCGCACTTGGTGTCTATTCGCCCAGCGCTCGCTTCCCTGGGGCCCTCCTGGGTTCTGAATGTGCTCGATCCCACGCTTCTTTGTTTTCTTCCGCTTCGTTGAGCGCCGCTTTGGCGTCCTATGGCGTTGCCCCACCGCCATCTGAGTTACCAATCCAGTGCTTGAAAGGCCGCGGCGCGGCAGGGGCTGTGCCCTCGCCACCGCTTGGGCAAAGGCTGGAAGGGCTGCGGTTTGCGGCTCATTTGCTGCCATCGGTGGCCGCTGCAGTTGTGAGGATATCCCCCTGTTATTAGCACCCTAAAGGCACCTCGGAAACGGAATCCAAGATCGCCGGAATCGGCTGTCGTTCGAGAGGGCGAGTCACGGGGCACAGCGATGCAGGGAAGCATTCTTCTGTGGCTGCCAATAGGGACTGCTGATCCTCGATCCGCCAGGGATTGCATGGGTGCCCGCGAGGGGCTGCCTTGGGCGCCGGGCGCGACTTCGCTTCAGGGCAGCATCTAACGCTGCCACACCGGCTGAAGGATGCAGGATAGCAGGGGCCAAACGGCAGTCAAACGCTCGGGTGGGCGCCAATCTCTGCCATTCACCGGCAGGAGGGAGCGGCGATTCGACCATCGATTCCGACTGGGGTCTGCGCTTTTTTCGATCTGGCTGAGTAAACCGTTCGTGGATGGAGTTGTGCGCAGTGTCGAAGAGTATCAACAGTCTGCGGGCCGTTTGTCGCTGCCAACTTAATCAATTCAATCGAGAGGAGTGCTTCGTCTTTTGCACGGCTGGAATTTGTAGGCCCTGAGCCACTACCCCGGCGTTACAGCTCTTTACACCAATATATTTACACCAATACACAGTCAAAATCCCAGTCACACTGGCACAAACATGTTCTGGAACATTCTACAGTCAACGACTCAGATGCACCTCGAAAACAGTTCGTTTTGGCTCTCCAGACAACTGCCGATTGGGACATACTGCACCAAACTGTTCGTTTCCAGACAAGCTGCTCTGTTCCCCACCCCCCTCCACTGCGACCTTAACATTCCATCCAAGGCCTTCAGCGGTGCGCCTTGTTATGGCAACAAAGCCGTTCGGCTCTCACGCTTGCACATTATTCCGACTGCAGCACATGTGCAGGACGTTGGCGTGGCAAACGCAAGCATGCCTGCTCCCACCTCCATGCTCATGCCAACCCTGATGCTAGCATTTCATATTTGCACCCTTGCGTTGTTGTCAGTCCCGTCCGCCCCTGTTGAACAGCCTTCCTAATGCAGCAAACGGATTTCTCCGCCTATCATTCACCCTGCCTCCCTGGCCGCCAGCTGCTCCACCAGCTTCCTCGTGCGCAACAGCCGCCCGTTCAGCTTGTTGCGCTAGTCTCGTGACTGCCTCTAATGCGTCATCGGCAGATCTGTTTCCCTCTGTGAGTGTGTGATGGCTGCCTCCAATGACTGCGCCACATTCTGCGCATCTGGAAGTCTCCATTGCTCGCCCGCACTCCCCAATAATGTAGACGTGGCCGTTAGGACAGCGGTACACATGTCCACTGCCGTATGTCCTGCCGTTGCCGTATGTCCTGCGAATGTCAGCACTGATGACGGCCCAGATGACTTGAGCTTCCAGGGGGTGACCAGAGTCCCTGACGTCCTTTTCCAGCTGTGGGAGGCTCTGAAGGATCTTGCGGATCTCTTTCGAAATTTGGGCGATGGCGGGAGTCTGTGGAAGGCACCACATGCACGGTTGCAAGCTCTTCTTTCGTCATGGCGACAAAATTGCATTTGCGCGCGTTTTTCTCCCCTTAAATTACAGACAGATGTGCGTACGGCTCGGCATCTTGTCTGTTCGTTTTTGCGGAACTGTTGATGAACGACACCGTGCACACGATTCATATGAGCCTTTGTTTAGTACAGGATAAAGGCGTGTGTGAGCAATCAGCGCATCGCGGCAGTGATCTAAGCAGGGCGGAAAAGCTCGAATGTCAGGGAAATGTGGGACAGTGCGTGCCTTGGGGCTGTTTGGAGAGGCCACTGCCTCCAAAGCTCCCTCGCCAATAGCCTTCACATGCTCCAGCAGCTTCAGCTGTATGTCACGGGCGTCCGCGGCATAGTCTGGACAGTTCAGGGCTTCCTTAACGACGTCCAGCTTGGCCGAGGCGCCGATGTGGGTCACCATCATAACACCGAGCTCCACCTTCGTCTTGGCCACCTCCAGACCCGTTGCTGTGCTCTTGGACTTCGCTGCGCATTCGGTTGCTTCTTCCAGGGCAGTCACTGCCTCTGCATATCTGGCCATTGCTTCGTTCGCTATCTTGCGAATCAATTTCATTTTATCGGCCTGCAAAATAAGTCATATGGCCATCTGAAATTCATTGGGGAAGCACGCAAAACTCCAAATCGCGATATGAAGGCTGTTGACGAAATTTCCGCTGCCACATCCTGCTAAGCTGCAAAACTCCAACAATGCCATGACAAGCAAGGGATGCCATTAAGAAAGATCGACTGGCATGGAGACAGTGACCTTAGACCACTTGATGTGCTGCTCGAAGAAATGAGCCATCTCCATGAAATCTATTGCCTTCTCACCTTTTTGTCCGCCGCTCGGGAGTTGCCCCTTGCACGATTCGCCCTGGGTGGGGCCCCAGACGTGCCGGCATCAATTCCAGCCCCGGCAGCGCACATGTGCCTGGTGTTGACGAACAACCATGCCACCGTGGCTCTCCCAACGCCAAGCAGAGCCCTTCCAACAGGAAGACCGCGTTCACGCTAGTAAGAAAAGCTGGCCCAAGTGCACGGTTTTGAAAATCATGCAACATAAAACACGACTGAAAATGCACCATGCAACACGATTGAAAAACCGTGCTAAATCGTGCACTTGCCGTGTAAAAATGGGAGCAAACCGTGTAATAGCGATTGAATGAGTGTGGATGTATTTCACATGTTTGACACGGTTTTACACGATTTTTACGCGGTTCTAAATCGCGCATTTGCCGATTTTTCACTTGTGTAAAGTGCAGCATTTTCCACTGCTGCGGAGAGGGAATGGAGCATCTGGTGACAGCACAATCACAAAAATTTGACCTGGTCGCATTTGCTGCCATGCGGAAGCTCTGGCTTGCACATTCAAAGGATTGAAAAGACATGTTTTGCATACGCATGGATTGTCTCAGAAGCAGTCATTGATTTGCACGCTTTGTCCGCGTTAAGTATGGGCAGATATCCATGGCGCAACCACGCGTGTGCAATGTCGATTTTCGATGGCATGTGACACCGGCGTTTCTGTTTTGTTATTCATTATGTAAGGCAGGTTTGGGTTGGAATAAGATTGGCGCTCTGCAAATTGTCAGAATCCAATCTTTATATTTAAGTTTTCAGTAATTACAAATGATTCAAATGAAATCCAGACGATTTTGGCGCGAAGAATTAACACTGCACAATGCTGTAGCTACTTGGGTTGGGGCAGTGCCAGAATCTGTAACCACTACCTGAGATGTTGAGGAATGCATACGTCTGCGCTTACCGGGAGGAAGACCACATGGAACCAGTGCGCACCACGGTGCTGGAACCATTGGCACATTCAAATCAATTGCATCGCTTCAGAAACCTGGGAAATTTTGCAACGTGTATTCT